GAAATCTGACAAATAGTGATCTGAAGCCTTAGATATCAAAATTGAAAGTATCCTCCCTTAGTTTTACCAGGGTGAAAGATTAGTTTTAGCATTAGTATAACAGCTTGAGCCCCATCTAGCTTTGTAGTTGGGGCCCGAAGGCTGCCTTGGACGTGAAGACAATGCGAAACAAGTTTACCTTCAATTCAAATGTGCGTGTCAACAAATGCGTCTGAGATTGCGGTTGTTGGTTGCATTTAAGAAGTTCAGTTTACTGACATTGCCATCCTACAACGTGTTTGTGAGTATCTTTCTTGCATGATTAGCGGGGCTTTTAAACCTACGCAAGGATTGGATAACAAAGCACATGGCTTATGGCTGCAACACCACGACCAACAATTAAGGGGTGGATTGGTACGGACGATGGGAAGGGCAAGGGCCAAAGAAGGGGTAAGCTGATGGGGATATCAACCCATTACTATCACCTTGGCGGTTCCGGATGGCGGCTAGGATCTACTATATCTAAATTGTTCTCGACCTGAGATGTTGATACGTGGCCAATCAGGAGAGGCATCCCAATCTTTGCCTCAGTTTTGTGAGCTAAGTCAACTATGGTCCCTTGATCTTCTACCAATAAGACCCCTTCTTTAACTCAAAACGATTTGCTAAACTTGGCTGCATCATACATAACTTCGTGGAAAGAATTGTTAGGCCTGTCCTTCGCAAAACCTTCTACTACGATGTAAGCCATGTCTAAAGATGTGATGGATATATGTCTTTGTAATCAGGTTTTTTTATATTACTTGATCTGATTAAGTAAGATTAAATTACCTTATAATTGTATTTGATTAATTATTTTAGAATACTTTTTATTTGAACTTGATTAGAAATTTTTAATTACATATAATATTACTTTTTATTATAAATTTTTATAATTAATGAAATACTTATTAAAATTCATTAGTTGTTTTAAATATGATTATAAACTTTAATTTGTTATGAATTAATTTTAATTTATTAATAATATACATAAAATTTATTTTAAATTTATTTTAATCAAATAATTAATACATACTAATATTTAACAGATATTATTTAAGATATTCGAATACAAGTTGAGTCATAGTTAAAAAAATTTATCGAATATTTTTAAGATTTGAGTAACCTATCAAACAATAAGATTCGGATTACAACATTTCAAAAACAACAAATATCTTACCCATTGACATCCCCGACATATCCACCCAACCCTTTTCCGTTTTCTCCATTTTTACTAAATAAAATTCGACCAGAATTGCTTAGTAAAAAATACCCTGTAAACTCTCTGGACCATCAATTGTCTAAAGCTTAAACCAATTTGGGGTTTAAATAGTTAGTGCAGCAGAGTTGGTGACACATCAAACATGTACAGTTGGCCTGTAAATGAACTGGGGCATCACATCTGAATTCAGCCGTGTGCCATTACTTGTGTTGTCCCACGCAAGGGTAACATAATGTAAGAAAGAGACAATATCTTATCTAATCATAGCTTGCTCGCCAACTAGCTGCATGATGAGGCCTGTCAACTTTTGATCTACACCCAGGCCAATAGGGACAGCAAATGATAAATACTCACTGTCAGGGTCGGTGCATCCCTTTGTGATGGCTCCAAAGTTTTTAAAATTTTTATATATTATATAGTTTTTAATAATTTTTAAAAATATTTTTTATTAAATAATTAATATAATTAAAAAA